TGAGCTCTGATTTTGGTTGTTTTGGTCATCCATGACTTACTTTGTATAGCTACCATGTAATCTAGCTTGTTTTCCATTAACAATCCATAATAACTCACACATGTAAACAAAATTAACATCTTAAATGTCCAGGAAGTTTCAAACATGTAGCCAAGGGCTTATATACATAATGATCCTACGTGTTCATCAATGTAACCAAAGGGAATCAAAAATAAAGAAATGAAACAAACTCTCATGCGTTAGACGGTCGGGCTAACTCCACAAAAACTTGACTCCTCTTATGTCTTTCACTAGGGCTGGGTTTGGACATCTCTTTGCTCACCTACACATACATAAATGAGAGCGAGCGATAGCCAAGTGAATAATATCAAAATAAAGGAGTACATGAATGAAATTGTAGAAGTCATATCATACGGCCTTAGGCCCATTCATAATTCGATCTAATATATCAAACGGCCTCAAGCCCAAACATGTCGAACGGCCTCAGGCCCATTTTGTTCTTATCAAACGGCCTTTGGCCCATTCATTCATATCACACGGCCTCTGGCCCAATCATTCATGTCTAACAGCCTCTGGCCCATTCATTCATATCAAACGGCCTCTGGCCCAATCATTCATATCAAACAGCCTCTGGCCCATCCATTCATATCAAACGACCTTTGGACCAATCATTCTTTTCCATATTTGCATCCATGTGTGTGTCATATTCATGATCGTAGTCACATTCGCATTCAATTAGTCTTGTGTAGAAGACTGTCATTCAGACTATTCATCCATAATTCAAATTACAAACCCATAAGGGTCACATAGAAGTAACGTTGTGGAAAATAACGTACTTGAATATATCTTTATTAAGATATTACTCACAGTGATCTACCAGATGATTTGCTCTTGTGCTTGACCCTACACATTACATAAACATAATGGGTCACAGGCAATTTGATCCGTTCTTAATTCATATATCCCTCTTAGGCTTCTTCCTTATCTTTTTAACTCATTTATAATGTTCAATGCATGCCTAAGAGTGCTTAGAAATGAAAGGGAATGAAAAACAAATCATAAAACACATTTTTAAAATTTCTGAAATAGGGCTCTCCCCTCGAGCGTAGCTTTGGCCGCTAGAGCGGACCCCTTTGGTTTGCAGAAGTACTGGTTGTCCCTTTTTTGAGCTTGAGCAAGACTTTAGCCGCTTGAGCTGAGAGTCAAAACATGTGTCTGGGCACTCAAGCTCAACCCCTCACGCTTGAGCTGACATCAATGTCTGCAAAACTTCTAGGAGCTAACATTTCACACTCGAGCAGACATGCCGAATTCTGGAATTTCCTGAACTGCATTTAAAGCTCAAACTCAGTATTCAAATGCCCAAAGCTCAAATTTTTGGTACAAAAACATGGAAAATCATTACATGACGTGGAAACACTTTTAGTTTGGAACCAATTACTCAAAATCACGAGCCAATGTCCAAAATCAAGTTTAAACCATTCAATTCCATGTTCATAACTTTGAGACTCATGCATGTATGATCTTACATGGGTTCATCATCTTCAAAACATGTAGTTGAGTCTCATAACCTCGTTATTCATGGATGCATGTCTTAAATGACTTCCAATTCAACTCATTTAACATGTTTTATACACAAACATGAAGACTTATAGCAACTTCTTACATGCATGCACATATTAATCTCAATTTCATCATGATCAACATGTTTTGCATTCAAATATGCAAATTTATGGCTAACTCTCACATACATGTACTAAATATCTTCAAATTCACTATCATCAACTCAATTCTTGTTCTTCAATACATATCTTGTTTGAATTCACTCAATTGCAAACTAAAACTTATGCGTTGAGCTCAATTACTCACCTAGGAGTCCAAATCTTCCAAATTCTAGCTAGCTCTTGAGCCTAGCCTTCCAAATCTTCAAGGTTTGAGCCAATTCTACAAGTTTTCCTCTTCTTCTCTCTCTAGAACCGGCCCTCTCTCTCTCTCTCTAGATTGTGATTTCAGCCAAGATGAGTTCAAAAAGAAAGAATTTGAGTGTGTATGGTCCTATTTATAGACTTGGCTAATCAAATTTATTAAGCTCAAGTAATGATGCTCTAATTAATCATTCTGAATCTAATTATTTTGATTCGAATAAATTTTCAATTAAATTTCACCGTGGGCTCTAAAAATTACGCTAATCACAATGGTGTAATCAAATTCGGTTTCTGTGGTCGATAAGGCCTTCAATTTTCAGTTCATAATAGTAAGATGAACAGATTTTCCCACGGTGAACAGATATAAGGCCAAATCCACACATAATCATGCAATTAACACCAAATTCAAATTAATCACATAATCACAACATGATCACAATTAATTAACTTAACACAAGATAGGGTTATCACAATCTTCCCCCCTTTAGGAAGTTTGGTCCTCCAAACTTATTTTACCTCCGTTTGGAAACAAATGTGGGTAGCGTAGTTGCACCTCATCCTCTTTTTCCCATGTAGCGTCTATCCCATAGTGTTCTTTCCACTCTACCTTCACCATTGGGATGGACTTATTTAATAACCCGACCCTCGTATATGTTTTCTGGTATACTTTTAGTCCCTTACTCTGTGTATCTATGAGCTTGTTGTGAAATTCCATGTGAACCTAAGTTAGAGGAGTGCATCTTATGATTATAGATTCATATATGTTTAATAACAGAAACATCTGTTGCAATTGTGATGTTCAGATCAGAAATTGAAAGCCATAGAAGTTTAATAATCCGAAATTCATTTTATATTTGAGATCAGGATGATTTTTAGGTCATAATATGATTTTCTGTGAAATTTTGATTTGGAATGATTAAACTGATTGATTTTTTGTCCTTATTCAACTTTTATATATATGTGTGTGTGTCTTTTAAACATTTGACTGAGAAGCTATTATACAAATATCTCCTGGGAGAGAGAGTGAGAAAAAGAGAGTTTGAGAGGGAGAAGAGAGTTCCACAATGAAGAAAGTTGGGAAATTGAGAGAGATTAGAGAGATTTGAACTTAAGGTATGTGTAATCTACTTTGAACAAACTCTCTCTTGATCTTAGTAAGAACTTCTTGTGCTATCATGTAAGTTAAGGTTGTAATAGGGATTAAGGGTTGGATAATTGATGAATTGGAAAGCTATTCTTAACATTTGGTTATTTTGGGAGTTAATTTGAGCTATGTGGAAGGATCTCATCTCATTCTTTGAATTCTCATGTTGGAAGCACTTGATTGCTCATATATTGATATATATATATATCACATATAATCATAAATGCAAGTGTATTGAATTGTTTGTGTGGAATTGAAGGAATTAAAAACCTAAATGACTTTATGATTCATGTTTATGGTGATGTTACATTATCAAATTAATTTAAATTCCTCTCTTTTACACCTTGGATTGTGTTGGTCTAGCTGTGCATGTGTTTTGCTTCGGATTGCACCAAACAGGGCAGAATCACCGTACGTGCGGGGGTCGTGGCCGCACGTGCGGTAGCACTACTGCACGTGCGGAGGTCATGGCCGCAAATGCGGAAAATAGAGAATTTTGGGTCTTTGGCTACAGGAAAAAAGGCATGTGCGGGGCTTCACAACCGCACATACGGGAGCCACTGTCGCACATGTGGGGCTCACAGCCGCACGTGCGGCCCATGCTGGGAAATTATGTCCGCTCTGTTTTACCTGTTTAACCCTCTGGTGTTATTAAAATCTATGTTTGATGCCTTAAAATGTTTGTAAATTCATTTGAAACAAAACGAATCAAACAATGGTTTAAAAAGGGAAAGGAACTAATTTGTGAGTTATGTATGTGTGTAGGTCACAATCCGGGAGGAACTATCGCTCCACTACAGCACAGTGAGTAATAGTACTACAGCTGTACATTTGCTTATCATTAATAATAATTATTATTAATGCTTTGCTATTCGCAAGTTAATTATGCTAACATTTATAAATGATTGGAAAATCTATATACATTTGCACGACCCTGGAAACATTTTGCTTTGTTGATATCTGGGCTAGAGGCCAATCTGTAAAATCTGTTAGGCCAGAGGCCGATGTGAAATCTGTTAGGCCAGAGGCTGATCAATAAAGTCTGTAAGGCCAGAGGCCGATCTGTAAAGTTTATTGGGCCTGAGGCCAATCTGTATGTTATTGGGCTTGAAGCCCCTCTGTATAAAAGTTGGGCCCATGGCCATTCTGAACATGTTTACAGAATAAGATTATACATATGCTCTCTGCACTTACATACATTACAATTCGTGTTTATTCAGTAAACTGTTTATGTACTATTATTCACTGAGCCTTGCTCAATCTGTGTTATGTCTATTACTGTAGGTAACCAACCGGGAGGTCAGTCTTAACCCATCGTGCCCATTTCTCTTTTGTCAACCTCAGTACGTCCAAGCATTTAGATGAAGCCCATTCATTTTGTGGAATCCTTGCAGAGCTTTTAGCTTGGTGCACTAAATCTTTTGTCTGATGCTGTAAAACATGATTAACTTCCCTCAACATAGTTTTGTTACATCCTCAGACCCGAGGATGGGTCTGCATATTTGTATATATATATAATTACATGTGTGTTTATTATACATTAAAGTACCTGATATTAAGTATTTGATCCTGGCCTGTTAGTATTAGCTCAATGGATGCTATTTTGCATTGTTAAATGCTTCTGTTCAGGCCCCATATGTTATACCTATCGAATTTGATGTCCGTTTCTGAAGTGATCATGCCCAAACTTTTAGGGGCGGGTTTACGGCGTGACAAGTGGTATCAGAGCACGAGTTGCTATCTCACACACGAATCCATTGAGCTTTAAGATGTCTAGAGAAGACTTAGGCAACATGTATAACATTCTGAAAGCATATAAACAGATTGATGGCAACGTTAAATGTATATGCACTATCTGCTATCTCCACTGATTATGATCCACGTCCATTTTATATCTCTTGTGTATATTGTAATTGATTGTCATGTAGAATATGGTGAGAACAAGAACGGAAGACCCGGAAGATTCGACTTCTGCACGGTTGGATAGAGTGGAGAGAATGATAATGGAAATGGCAGAGACTCTACGACAACAACTGCAAGAGTCACAACCACAACCGCCACCGCCACCGGTACCTCCGCCTGTGGCACAAGATTTTCATGCTGAGGACCGAACTATCACTCTCACGAGGGAATTTAAAAACATGAAGCCGCCATCATTTAAAGGAGGAATAGAACCAATGAAAACTGAAGTGTGGGTATTGGGAATAGAAAATTTGTTTGAAGTTTTTCCTTGCACCGAAGCCCAAAAAGTGCAACTTGCTGCCTTCACTCTTGAAGACGAAGCACGGAGGTGGTGGATGCTTACGAGAACTGTGCACCAAGGGTTAACATGGGATAGATTTTCGGAGCTATTTTATGACAAGTACTTTCCCCAAAGCATGCGAGATAAGAGGGTGACAAAATTTGAAACTCTCAGACAAGGAAATAAGACCGTTGCAGAGTATGAAGCCCAATTTACAGAATTAGCTCAGTTTGCCCCTCATATGGTGTACACAGATTATATGAAAGCACGAAAATTTGAAGGGGGACTACGGACTGCTATCGTTGACTGAGTTAACATGTTGAAGTTACCCACCTACGTTGATGTGTTGGAGAGGGTTGTTATAGCAGAGGGAAACATTGCTGCCAAGAATCGGATTTCGGAATGGAAAGGAAAGAGGCAGAACATTCAATTATCAAAGGGGCTAACCATAGCACCAAACAAGAAACAAAATTCAGGGACTTCTAGTACTTTGACCCTTACCCCAGACTCAACTCCTGTTTGCTCAGAGTGTGGAAAGAATCACTGTGGGACTTGTTATCGGTTATCTGGAGCATGTTTTAGGTGTGGTAAAATCGGTCATCTAGTAAGGGATGGTCCTCAAAGGAATCAACCAAACGGCAATAGGACTGCTACAAGCTCAGCAGGGTCTACACCAACTCCCAACACCAAGTCAGCTGCCAAGCCAGTTAACAATAAAGACACCGCGAGACAAGGGAGAGTGTTTGCATTAGTTCTGGAAGATGTGCAAAATACTGCAACCGTGGTGTCAAGTATATTTATTGTTCACGGTCATTCTGCTCATGTATTGTTTGATTCTTGCTCTACCCATTCCTTTGTGTCAAAACTATTTGCGCAAAATTTAGATAAATCTGAGGAAGTATTGTCTTATATGCTATGTGTGTCCTCACCTTTGGGGAATTCTGTGATCTGTACCTCTGTATATTTTGCTTGTGAACTCCTAATTGGGGATATCCAGGTATATGCCAACTTATTGCCTCTTGACATGACTCATTTCGATATTATTCCGGGTATGGACTGGTTGAGTGAATATTGTGCAACTATTGACTGTTTGACTAAGCAAATCCGTTTCCATCCTTCGGGACAATCAGAATCTTCCTTTCGGGGACGTGGAGTGACTTCTCCACCTTATTTGATTTCTGCAGTAAAGGAATGTAAATTAATTTAGAAAGGGTGTCAGGGGTATTTATGCAGTATTTTGAAAGGGCAAGTGATGAATGGGAGTACTGACATGATTCTAGTTGCCTGTGAATTTCTGGATGTTTTTCCGAAAGAATTACTGGGGGAGTTAGTAGACCATGAAATCGAGTTTACAATTGAAGTGGCGCCGAGAACTCAACCCATTTCTAAGACTCCGTATAGAATGTCACCGGTTGAAATGAAGGAATTAAAGGTTCAGCTACAAGATTTACTTGATAAGGGGTTCATTCGCCCGAGTGTCTCTCCTTGGGGTGCACCAGTTCTGTTTGTGAAAAAGAAAGACGAAACACTCTGATTATTTATAAATTACAGGGAACTTAATAAGGTAACGATCAAGAATAAGTACCCATTTCTGCGGATCGATGATTTGTTTGACCAGCTACAAGGGGCACAAGTCTTTTCGAAAATTGACTTACGGTTCGGATACCACCAACTGAAGGTCAAAGCTGATGATGTTGAGATGACAGCTTTTCGAACCCGGTATGGACATTAGGAATTTCTGGTTATGCCCTTTGGAGTTACTAATGCACCAGCTGCATTTATGGATTTAATGAACAGTGTCTTTAAGCCCTATCTGGATGAGTTTGTGGTGGTATTTATCGATGACATCCTCATTTACTCGAAGAATGCAGAAGCTCATGAGAATCATCTTCGTCTAATTCCTCAAACAGTTCGAGAAAGGAAATTGTATGCAAAGCTGAGGAAATGTGAATTATGGCTACATGAGGTAGCATTCTTGGGGCATGTGATAACAAAGGAAGGAGTTTCTATTGATCCACACAAAATTGAGGCAATCGTGAAATGGCCAACTTCTACCAATGTGACTGAGGTGCGTAGTTTCTTGGGATTGGCGGGATACTACCGGAGATTCGTAAAAGATTTTTCTAAAATCGTAGTGCCACTTGCCCAATTGACTCAGAAGGGGATTTTGTTTGAGTGCTCAAAACAGCGAGAGTCTGCCTTCTAGGAGTTAAAAACAAAGTTGACTACAGCACCGGTTCTAGCACTTCCATTTGGTACTGAAGGATTTGTAATCTACAGTGACGCTTCTTATAAAGGACTTGGCTGTGTACTTATGCAAAATGGGAGAGTCATTGCTTATGCTTCCCGATAGCTCAAACCCCATGAAAAGAATTATCCTACACATGATCTTGAGCTAGCAACAGTGGTTTTTGCTTTGAAGATATGGCGGCACTATCTGTATGGGACTACCTGTGAAGTTTATACTGATCATAAGAGCCTCAAGTACCTTTTTACGCAGAAGGAGTTGAATATGCGATAGCGACGATGGTTGGAACTTATTAAGGATTATGATTTGCAGATCCATTACCATCCTAGTAAAGCCAATACAGTTGCAGATGCACTATGCCGGAAAGGTAGGGGAAATTTGGCAAATTTGCTTACGGAACAAAGAGAGTTATTGGTTGAATTGGATAAAATGAATGTAAACCTTGTAGTGCATGGATGAGAGGCCATAGTAGCGGCAGTGATGGCCCAACCGACATTAATTGAAGAAATCAAACTACGTTAGATGGAAGATGGAACCTTGAAGAGGATATGTGATGAGTTAGAGACAAAACCGAGACCGGGATTCAATTTGGTGAATTCAGTACTCAAATTCCAAGGTAGAATATGTGTTCCCAATGTGTCGGGAATTAGGTAGAAATTGATGGAAGAAGCACATCCCTCGAGATTATCACTGCACCCTGGGAGTACTAAGATGTATCGGGATTTAAAACAAAATTTTTGGTGGCCAAGTATGAAAAAGGAAATTGTGGATTTTGTCTCCAAATGTTTGCAATGTCAGCAAGTAAAGGCAGAGCATCAGAGACCGGCAGGGTTATTGCAACCCCTTCCAATCCCGGAATGGAAGTGGAAACATCTAACCATGGATTTTGTTATAGGGCTACCACGGATTTCTCGGGGTATGAATTCTGTATGGGTCATTGTAGATCGGTTAACTAAGTCTGCCCATTTCCTACCGTTGAAAACTTTGTACAATTCGGAGAAACTTGCTGTAATATATGTGAATGAAATTGTGAGACTCCATGGTGTTCCAGTTTTAATAGTATCAGATAGAGACCCGAAGTTTGTATCTAGATCTTGGCAGAGTCTATAGGGAGCAATGGGTACAGAATTAAAGTTTAGTACAGCTTTCCACCCTCAGATAGACGGACAATCCGAGAGAACGATACAGACCTTAGAGAATATGTTTCGAATGTGTGTTTTGGATTTTCAGGGGAGTTGGGAAACTCATCTACCGTCGGTAGAGTTCACATATAATAACAGCTACCATTCGAGTATTGGGATGGCGCCCTATGAGGCTCTGTATGGAAGACCATGTCGTTCCCCTGTGTGTTCGGCCGAAGTTGGAGATAGGTCATTGTTAGGGCCCGAAATTGTTCAATTGACAATTGAAAAGATTAAAACTATTTGGGAAAGATTAAACACTGCTCAAAGCAAACAGAAGAGTTATGGGGATAACCAACGGCGGGATTTGGAATTTGAGGCAGGCAATTATGTTTTTGTGAAAGTCACTCCAATGAAGGGGCACCCAAGATTCGAGAATAGAGGTAAGTTGACACCCCGATATATTGGTCCATTCTAGATTCTGGAGAAAGTAGGTTCTGTGGCTTACCGAGTTGCCCTTCCTCCAAGTATGAGTCAAGTGCATAATGTGATCCACATCTCTATGCTCCGAAGCTACCTTCCGAATCCATCTCATATCATAGACTATCATATCGTTACACTTGATGACAAATTAACCTATGAAGAAAAGCCAATTCAAATTCTAGATGGACAAGTGAAACAGTTACGGAATCGAGAAATTCCAATGGTAAAAGTTGAGTGGCAAGAACATTACGAAACCGAAGCGACTTGGGAAAAAGAAGAGGAAATGTAACACCAGTATTCGTATCTATTCCTATCATAAGGTAAAACAAGTTTGAGGGACCAAATTTATTTAAGGGGGGGAGAATGTAATAACCCGACCCTCGTATATGTGTAGACACCCCATTTTTGACCGTCCTTAAGACTTGGGCACCACTGATGTTTTGCTTGGCGGAGAAAGGTGTGCAGGGAAAATGTTCAGTTTCTTCGGCAAGGAGAGAGGCAAATCCTTCAAAGCACTTTGTTTAGGGGTTTGGAGTTGAAGAAGAGAGGAAAGGAGAGGAGAAAACTAGTTTGGGAGAAGTTCGGCATGAATCCGGGTAGAAGCGAGTCGAGCAGCCCTCGCTGAATTTCCCTTTCTTATCTCGGCTTTCCATGTAGAACCCATAGTACGGTTTTAGACCGAACCAACGACTTTCGACCGGTATAACCCCAAGACCGGAACAACTCCAAGTTTCTTTCGGACCGAAGTACCTCTATAGTCGCTGTGCCGAAGTAACTCTGTCCCTCTTATGCCGGAATAGCTTTGCCTCTCCTCGGCCGGAGTAACCCTGTCTCTCCTGGGCCGGAGTAACCATACCTTTCCTGGGCTGGAGTAACCTTGCGGCCTTTTCACCAAGTCCTTGGCACCTTGGGCCACGAAGCCTATCACATAGCTCGGCCCAATTTTTACCAAAAATTACCCTCTCAGTATGCGTACCGGATTCCGCACTATATGAAAGTAGATCGGGGCTCCGCTCTCAGTTGGACTATCCAGGGACTGAGGTTCCTGCCACAAGAAGTACCGTTAGAGCTGTCCGGCCGGGGTTGGCCGGATAATCCCTCCGGTGTGGGAATCAGTGATCGGAGAAGAAGTATATAGAGTTGAGTTTGTATGTATGTGTGGTTTTGCTTGGAATAGTTCAGTTACCTTCAATGTGAACTGAATGAAGTATATATAGAGTTCCTTCCTTGCTTTTCAAGATGGTTTCATGGAGCTTAGGTGCTGCCAAATGTCCTTTTAGCATTGCCCAAGGTGGGAGACTATTTGGTAGCCATTATAGAATGCATACACTCATTGTAGTCCTACTGATAACAAACCACATTCTTCTGGTTCAACAGCTTTCGTGATTCTAGGTGTAGGGGACCAGCTGAGGTGGCAACTTGCACATGCTCATACTCATAACATCCACGTTTCTCTGTGAGGCTCCTTTGGCTCAGTGCCTAAGTATCCCAGTTCGGCCCTGGACGAGGCTTCTGTTGGGATGGCCCGGTCTATTCGGATGTCTCTGTGTGGGCTCGGCCCACTTTTAGTTCGGTCCATAGTTTCGGTCTTGCAACTTGGCCCGGCCCAGCATTACAGCTGGGCTAACCTTTCCACTGCGAGTTGGGCCCAAGTGCTTGAGCACTTAGCTAGTAGGCTATTGGTCATGGAGTTGGGCTCAATTGGCTTGCCCATATATTCTTCTAACCCACTTGGATTTGGGCTTTAGTGGATTGGGCCGGCCCAAGGTTTGGATCCGACCATTTTGTATTCTACCCCTTCACATGGTGTATCTTTGTTTGTAGAAATTCAAAGTTCTGCATAGTTTATTTGTTCAAATTCAAAAACAAGAAGCTAGATGGAACACATAATTTTGAAATGATAGACAATACAAGGTTGTAAATTTAAATCAGGAATCAGGCTTTGGGCTTAACTAGTTAATTTCGACTAGTTTCTATCAGTCTCATGTTCTCGTTTTCACATTAATATCCTCTGTATTTCAAGGAGACTAGTAATGTTTTTGATCTCTAACACTATTTATTCTTTCAAAAATTGCAGATGGGTTGAAATATGACTTGAAGTGTAAGTATTCCCCCTCCTCCATCTATATCTGTTTCATTTCTAAGCAATCTCACAACGTTCATTTCAAATTTTGTCTAGAAGAAAACACAAAAAGCTACTGATTCATTTTCTCAACTATTTCACAAATCTGTGTGAAACTTAAATTTGACTTGCTTGATTTGATCATTCTAGAATTGTTTTAAAAATTTATAGTGCAAATTATCATTTTCACCCTTTGCCTTTTATTCTTATGTTTTATTTTTTACTTATTTAAAATAGTCGGTGACATAGAAACACATTAAAACAAGAGTGCTTTCTTTCACACAACGGCATTAAAACAAGAGTTAGAAATCTAATACTTAATCAATGTAATTAGAAGGTATTTAAAAAACAAGGGAAACAATTGTTTGCACTCCAAAATCTCTGGGCTGGAGAGTGTTGTTCGAGTTCATGAGGCTCATCTCGAGTTTTATTTTGATAATCTGAATCATTTATTTTGTAGAATTCTTCATATATATTATACACACAAAAAAAAAGAGCAATCTAACAATTACAATTTATTCAATTTATTGAAATGTCTCCAAAAAACAGAGGATAAGTATATTTTTTAAAATAGACTATCTATTTTTTTTTTTAATTTTATATATACATTTTTTTTAGTGACAAACACAATAAATTAAACAAGTTAGGATTATTGGACTGATTTTTTTTTTTTTTTGGTAGATGATATACATGAAAGATATTAAAAAATGAATAATTTAAATTATCGAAATAAAACCTATGGTAGGTCTCACGAGCCCAAATAGTATCTGGACAGAAGGATAGTCCAGCCCCAAAAACAAAGTGAAACTATGAGAGTGTAATTACCTTGGAATATACATTGGGGATTGTTTTTTTAAATAAAAAAAAATATGGTATGCAGTTAATCCGCGGGATCATTTTGAAAGTAAACAATTCTTATTGTACAAATTGAAAAACAAGAAGCCAAATGGAACACTAGTTTGTTAAATTAAAGGAGAAATCAGGCTTTGTGATTGACCTTTTATCTCTTAGTAGTTAATTTTCACAAGTTTAAACTCTATTTTTCCTTTTTCTTTTTCTTTTTTTGATGGGGACTCATGTTCTGTTTTTCACCCCTTAATTGTTGTGCTCATGTGAAAATAAAATTTGAATAAAATAATCATTTCATTTCAATGATCAAACATGAATAATGTTAAATTTGTCATTTGTTTATCACTTTTAATCTATCACATTATGTCTCAACACTGCATTGAAAATAGATAGAATTGATAAGACTATGGAATAGTAATGCGTTGGTCTCTAACACTGTTTATTTCTTTCAAAAAATGCAGATCAGTTGAGTAATGGCTACGACTGTATGTATTCTCCCTTCTCCATTCATATTTGTTTCAAAGTCATTACAATCTATAAGAGTGAAATTTTTGTTGTAAAGAATATTTAGGGATCAATTCATGTCATTGTGATAATAGTCATTAAAAAGATGTTTTGAAAAGTCAAAAACATGACTTTTAGTGACAAATAATTTATAAATGTCGCTAATAAATGCATTTTAGTGACAAAATAATTTGATTCCAAAAAAAAATATAGAGGCAAATTTTGGTCTTAAAATGATAATACTAATGTTCTAATTTTGTCATTAAAAATATAATAATGACGCTTCTAACAATAAAAATATTTCTTCCCTAACAAGTACTTTTATCTTTATATTTTAATATTTAAAATCTTAATTTATTGTAGTGAGCAATCACATACTATTTAATTCAAAAGTTATTTGGAATAAAACAATAAAAGCTCGTTATTCATTTTCAAAAATTTATCACTAAAAACTTTGTTTTTGACTTTTTAGAACAACATTTTAACAATTATTCTTTCGATAACATGAATTATTATCTTTTGCAATAAGATTTTTACTTTTAAGGATAAAAAATATTAATTCCTAAAACTCTTATATGTTGCGGTGCAATTTTATCATACCAATTTTTCAAATCGTTGGATCCCATTCAGTTGCTTTTCTCATTCCTATCAAGACGCCTTTGATCACTTTGATAATTAAGACTAATTGAATATTTCATTATGGTTAGTTTTAAGGCGGTGTGTCTTTCAAGTTCAAGTTCCAGGGAGGAATCCTCAGGATTGTCAATGTGAGTTCCTTTTTCGTTACTGGATTTTAGTTTAATTTATTTGTAATTTTTATGCATGTCGGCTGATTTTTGTTTAATTTTTCTTATAGATCTTAATTGGGGTTACGAGCTCAAAGTCATAGGTAAATCACTCCCCTTTTTAACAGGAAAAAGTTGTTTTGTCAATTGATTTTAAGGTGGGATGGGGTTGGGCACGACCTAATGGGCTGTCAAGCTTGTTTTTTCAAGACTTAAGATTGATATTTAAGCTCACAAAGTTGGGTTAGGATGACTTTTTAAGCCTGCCTATTAAACGGGTTGATTTAGGAATGTTTCTTGTGACCTGATTTGACCCAATTGTTAACATATATAATGAGAAATGTTATATACAATGAGAAATTGTTACCATATGTCCCGTAATTACAACAATTATAATATTTGATTATGACCTATTATGGTATTAATTATGACTTAATTATATAACTTGTTTATACATATTGTGATGTTAGTTATGGCTCATTATAATATTAATTATAATATTATTTTGGTTATGATCTAAAAACTTTTTAGTTATATCTTATATTTTGTTTGGTTATAATTTTTTTTTTTTTAATTATAACAACCATAGAATTGAGTTATGACATTTGTAGATATTAAATCCACAAATGTTATAACTTGTTTAGAGTACACACCTTTTTACCATAATATTACCTATTAATATGTATATACTTACAGAAAATTTATTTATCTAAATTTACACCTAGGATATATATGGCTTGATATTTAGTTTTTGTTGATATAAAATTATTAAATCTGAGTTTTATAATATTAGTTTTAATTTAATCTATGGGCTTGTTTGGTGGGCTTGGGATTGTAATACTATTTTAGGGTTGGATTTTGGATGAGACTTCTAGGCCCCCGAAGTCAGACTAGGTTTGACTTGGGCACAAGAGTTTTCTATACATTTCTTAACTTAAACTTGATTGAGTTTGAACCTGACCCGATATTTGTCCACCACTAAGGTAAATACTTCCAAATTCTAACAATGGCAAAACAAAAGAATGATTTTTAATTTGTCATCTTGTGATTTTTATATACAGGAGGAATCCTTTTGGCAAGAATTCTATTTGGCTTATGTGCTTTTGCATTTTTAATCCGTAAGTTTAAAAGAAGGCATTTATCGATGTTCGATAGCATTGAAGGTTATCTGCGAAGTCAAAATCACCTCATGCCAATTAGCTACTCTTACTTAGACATTAAAAAGATGGCCAAAGGTTTCAAGAACAAGTTGGGAGAAGGAGGCTATGGTTCTGTCTACAAAGGAAAGCTTAGAAGTGGTCATCTTGTAGCGATAAAAGTATTGGGCAAGCCCAAAGCCAATGGACAAGAATTTATTAATGAAGTTGCTACCATAGGAAGGATTCATCATGTTAATGTGGTTCAGCTAATTGGATATTGTGCAGAGAGATCTAAGCGAGCTCTTATATATGACTTCATGCCATTTTTATTTTTATTCCACTTCCATTTTTATTCAATTTCATTTTCTATTCAATTTCCATTTTTATTTAGTTTCCGCATATATCGTTAAGGTGTAGTGGTTTCTTGAATGAACTTCCACGTTTAATTTTATGCCGTTTTCATTTCTATTTTTATTCTATTTCCTTTTCTATTCAATTTCCTTTTTTATTTAATTTTCAAATAGATCGTTCAGGTATAGTGGTTTCTTGAATGAACTACCATGTTTAATATAGCGATCCCGGGTTTACCCTTGTTGTATAGTGATCCGGACATGTGTCCGTGGATGTTGGTAGTTGTTTATTATCTTGTTTACATCCTTTCTTACTTTGTATTTGAGTTATAGGATGTGTTGGGCGGGTTTGTTACAGGTTGGTTGAGTTGAGAAACCAAAACTAGTTGCCCAGATTTTGGCCTGTACGCTCGAGCGGAGGTGTTGGCGCTCGAGCGGAGATTACATCCATTCAGTATTTTCCTGTGCAGCGTTGTACGCTCGAGCGTGGTATTGGCTGTAACGCCCTCAAAATCGAAATAGATCGTTAAGGTATAATGGTTTCTTGAATATACTTCAATTTTTAATTTTAAGGACGAAGGGGTGATGTAACGCCCTCAAAATTAACCCATTATATATATATCATTGACATTCATTATTTAAAGAAGACAATCTATTAATTCATTCATCAGAGTATTACCAAATAATACATTACATGTATCTTCGAATAAATTGCCCTACAGGCTTACATCTTTCCAAGCCAACACTTGGATACAAAAATATGAGTTCTAACTCAAAACAAGAAAAGCCCTAGGCTTGAATGTTTACATGTACTAATAATTAAAGACAAACAACTAAAAAAAAACTTCTCCAATCCAGAAGCCAAACCCTCCCAAGCTAAGTCCTTGGAGGTAGTTTATCACCTGAACCTCAAAATGATGTTCCCATAAAGGGTGAGCCACAGCCCAGTAGAAATATACTAAACCACATATAAGCAATGAATAAAGCAATAGCATTCAACAGATGGTCAACCAAAATAATCAATTACTACATTTTACAGACTCATGACATTATTGCCAAAGATACGTTTTACTTTCCAACTATCCAATGTTTATCAACACTGGCTCAGAACCTGGCCACTTGAAAACAGTGGAAATCACACATATCATGTTACACATCCTTCTAATACAAACAAACAAATGAGCACTCAGTCAAACAAAACCTCATAACTTCAGATTGATACCACATTTATAGTGCTGTATCAATAAAAAACCTCTTATATAAATAAGGCACACATTAAAAAGGATGCTATATGGAGTCCAATCCCCTATTCTCCATCCCAAACAAAATCCGGTTTAGAGGTCCATCCCCTATCTTCCCCTAAACGCGTGGAGACATCCCCTTACTCCTCCCACATCACAAACACGGCGAGTTTTATGGGATGTGCTGTCTCAAGCGTAGGGGACGGCATGCTATGCTCAATCAATCAATAGCACGTATTTTCTGTATCAATGCCACAGTCAATATTAATGACTTAACCAATGGATTAGTTCCAGTTATTCCTAATCCACATGCAATGTCTACAACAATCATGACTATCCTCCACCCGATAGCCCAAAACAGTTATTTCTAACTGAAAAAACTAATATCCAGCAATTCAATAAACAAATGATTCAAATTGATCCAATGTATGCCATTTAAAATCAATGATTTCCCCCAATGTCATTGAATTTAACCATTATTTCCCAATTTCCATGATTACTTATACAAATCAATTCAATAATTTCAGACTAGGTTTTTCGCAAAATTTACCAAAGTATTCCAACATATTAAAATACATATTACATAACTTAGACATAACCTGATAATATGAGTAGGAAATCCCACCTCAGAGAAAACAACACCAAAATGTGAAGACATTGAGATGAGTGCCCAAATGACCAAATGCTTTTCCACAATTGCCAAAATGTTCAATTAATGAAAGCTCTCGACTCCTCTATCTTTTAATAAAGCAACTAGGAATTGAAACACTCCTAAACAGATTTCAAACCTAAGAGAGAAGGTGAGTAGTGGAAAGAGAGAGGTTCGAACCTAGGAGTTTGGAATTTCAAAGAAGAATGAAAAAGACTGATCAAAATCCCGCTTGTTGCCTGTAATTCTGATGGATTCCGTAGCAGATTTCAAACGCGACACAGAAGATATCTCGCATCGAGGCGAAGATCCCTTAGGCTCTTTCGCAAAACTCAAAGCCCGAGCGAATGACAGTCGACAGAGATCCTGCTCGACCCAAGGAACCTCTCAGAGCCAACAACCTCAAAGTCTAGACCAAAGATTTTCGACGAGCGAGACTCACGAATATCCCTAGGTCGAAACCAGACTCACATGCTCGAGCTGAAAGGAATATGCAAAAATGAAGCGAAGAACTTTAAACTAACTCGCCTTCGGAGCGAATTAGCAAACGCTCGCTCGAGCAAGAATGAAAGCTACACGGTCAACCCAGACGCATATACACTCTCGCACGAGCTACTAAACCCGCTCGAGCTGAAAGAAACCACAAAACAATATCTCGCTCGTAGCGACAAACTCCTCGCGCCGATGTCGAATAGACTCAAAAATTCTCGCGACAGCAACACTTGGTTGTCAAACCCAACCACCTGAACAAACCTGCCCAACACATCCTATATATTCCAAATGAGAAAAATAAGGAACAACAACAATTATTGACAAATGACAGAATCTATCGGAACAGTCCGGATACAATAATCAAATGGGAAAAGACCGGTGTCGCTATAACCTTCCCCTTCAAAGAATTCGTCCCCGAAATTTGGCACAATTGAAAAACAGTTTTTTTTCTCAATACCCAAAAGATAGTCTATAATAACAATAATAAACAACTTGACCCAATACTTGGTCACTTCATGCTCTTTATCAAGAAGCATCCCACAACTTATATAAACAACATATATTTCACCTGCCACCACTATTATGCATTATTTACCTGTACAATGTTAACAATTTCCATATCAATACTTCAATTGCATGATTTATATATATAACACTTCAACATGTATCAACATATACAATTTGATACTAATCTTTCCTAAATGAAAACAGTTTTCAGAGATACACCCATTTACCAAAACATAACTAATGCTTTTACAACTTAAGACATGATGTAACTTTAAGGTTTCTCAACAATATAACAGAATCTA